AATGCGAAGGCCAAACAAGTTCTGGAATCATATGAAATCAATCATTAACAAAGCGATGAGACGAGTGCTTCTGGTAACATTGGTTTCTTGCCTTTTCAGGATTGAAGGGAGAAGAAAAATGGCTCCAATGACAGCCAGAGGACAGAGGTCACAGGGAGTCATAAAAGCCTGAGGCCTGCTACCACAGCCCTTAGAATTGCACTTCCAGGTCATCATTTCTAAAATGAAAAAAATGGGCCACCGAGCCAAGCTCCCAACCCAGAATCCAAAACTGCCCAGCTTCCTCCAGAACTCCAGCTCAGCGGCCAGTGACAGCAGCTGAGCACATCCAGCCACGCACGTGGTCCATCGGAGGTGGCCTGCTGCCCTGGAAACGTGCTCCCGCTGCCTGCTCATCCCAGGATCACCCGCAGCGTTTCTGAAGGGAGCTCCTTGGGCCAACCATGTGGTGATCCCTCCCAGGGGCGGGTCCGAGAAGGCCTTCTCTCAGTTGGTGTTATCAGGGCCCTGTCTGGCCTTACAGGAGCACTTTCCCAACTTCCCTGGACTCAGCTTCTGCAATAAAAACAGTTGGTTACTTGTCATTGCTCATTCCACATAAATCAGGTCCAAACGGGGTGATGTACCTGCTTATTCTTTCCCAGTACCCCAGATTGCTGGACTATCTTTGTGGGGCCCAACCTTAACACACCTTCTTCTCATTCCCCACAGAAGCTATTCCCAACCTGTGTCACTTCCTTGGGGTATTTTTAGAAGTGGGCGCTCTCTAAATTTCTGCCTTTTCCTTAATTAAGGAATTCATTCCACTGCTACTTATTGAGGTCCAAGCCTCGAGATAAATCCAGCCCCAGCCAACATGTTGGTTACAGTTTTCAGAGAGACCCGGAGCCAGAAGACCCAGTTAAGCTGTGCCTGGATTCCTGGCACGCAGAAACCGTGAGGTAATAGATGTTGTTCTCAGCCACTCATTTGGGGGATAATTTGTTATGCAGTAATAGATAATTAACAGAGATTAACTAAAATGATAAAGAGCTTACAATAGTGCCTGTTGCACAGTCAATACGTATTAGCTATTATCACCGTCATTTTTATTACTTGTTTAGACCCACTACTAGACTGAAAGCTCTGTGAGGGGAGGGACCAGGCCTCCCTATTTGTCCACTGGGTCCCAAGTTCTGGTATAATGGTAGGCACAGAGTCCTTTATTAGAGTCCTTGCACAACAATAAATATTTGTTGACTAAGAGAATGAACAGGAAGGAATGAACGGGGGCCTCTAGACTCTTACCTCTCAGGCTAGAAAGGGGGCCTCTGAGAGTTGGGGGATATTCTGCGTGCCCAGATTCCTCATCCAGCCAGAGATGGACCCTGGCCCCTTTGTGGTGGCACAGCTTTCCTGAGCCCAAGCTGCGTATTTCCCAAGAACACAGTTATCACAAAGCGAGGCCTTGTGTCCACCTGGCAGGCACAGAGAAAACAATGAAACCATCATCACCAACCTTCTCTCCTGGCCAGTGTGTGGCCAGGGAGGGCAGGGGAGAGGCTGTGTTTAACTTGGCTGGGTAACATAGTTTTTCTTGATAGGAGAAATGTATGCTGAGGGTAAAAGAAGAAGGTAGTTCTCACCCAAGTGAGTTCTAGTCCTCAGAGGCCAGCCCCCTGCCTCCCCCGCTCCCCCCGAAAGTAATATACACAGAAGCTGTACCTTCCATCTGCACATCACCCACTCCTAGGAGCTTTAAGACTCAGTTCAAATGTCTCCTCCTCCATGACGCCTTCCCCAGCTTCCCTTGCTCCTCATGTGCCCTGGGCCTCATGCCTTCATTTGAGCGCGCTGTACTCCAGGTCTTAGTGAACATACTCCCGGAAAGCCCAGCCCGCCAGGGCAAGGACTGTGTTTTTCAATGGGAAGTTTTGTCTTTAAAATGAAGGGGGGTGGGGGGATGTGAGCTGGGAGGTGGACGGTGAGTGGGGCCCTGTCCCTGCTATTTTGCTTTTGTACCCCTCCTCGCAGCAGAGCTGAGGAAGCAGATGCCAGGGCTGGCTGAAGTACGGAGAGCTGTTGCAGTCTGCATTCAGGAGTGGCAGAAAGAAACCTCTAGAAGGCATGGGGCCCCCTTTGCACAATGTGGAGAGAAGACAGGGGTTCTGCGTGGCTGGTCCTGGCAGGGAAGCTCTGTGAAAGCTCTGTGCTCCCTGGGGTAAGGAAGTCCGGACTGCAGGGCGCATCACCCAAAATCCGAGCTACTGTCAACTAAACCACCTCCCCCCTCTGACAAGGCTCTACCTTAGTCTAAGCCAGTGTTTCTCCAAGTGTGGTCGGTCCCCAGACCGGCAGCATCAGCGTCACACAGGACAGTGATGGCGAACCTTTTGAGCTCGGCGTGTCAGCATTTTGAAAAACCCTAACTTAACTCTGGTGCCGTGTCACATATAGAAATGTTTTGATATTTGCAACCATAGTAAAACAGACTTATATTTTTGATATTTATTTTATATATTTAAATGCCATTTAACAAAGAAAAATCAACCAAAAAAAAATGAGTTCACGTGTCACCTCTGACACGCGTGTCATAGGTTCGCCATCACTGACATAGGACCGTGTCAGAAATTCAAACGTTCAGGCCTCATCCCAGACACACTGTGTGGGAAGTGTGTAAGCCCTCCGCGTAATTCAGATGCATGGCTAAAGTTGAAAGCCACCATTGTAAGTACACTGTCCCGCATGTAAAAAAGACCTCAGAACTACAATCCGGATTGGTTTAAAATGAAGATTAAATGAGAACCTAAGCTGATGCCCCTTGCTCTAAAATGCCCAGGATCAATAAAACTCCCCACTATCCTCCATGAAACAGTTCCACGGGCAATTTAATGAAGTCAGCACATTTATTTTAAAATGTGCAAAATGATTTTTCATATCCTAAGAGTAACACCAGATGTTTTAGCCCTTTGTCCTAATTGATTTTCCAGCCTACAGCAATTCGTCTTTGTAGTTTCCAGTTGGATCCTAATGCAGCAAGAAAAGCGTGTTCCGGCAGGATTATTAAATGCCATGCATTTTAAAACAAGCACAACTCAGGCCGCCATGCGTCATCTGAGTGGTTGTCTTCCCAATCTATTTTAGAAAGCCAGGCACTATAGGGACCAGGCACCTTCGAGCAGGCAGGAAACCCAGAAAAGGCTCTCTTAGGGGGCTGGGTCTCCAGGCTCTTTGCTGGTTGCAGAGCTGAGTCCTGGGCAGTGAGCCCAAGCCTGAGCTGTTCTCCGAGTCCTGCACTCCCTGGTACAAAAGCGTTTGCTAGCTGTAAAATCTGCAAGTCACATTTTGTTTTTCAATGGGAAGTTTTGTCTTTAAAACGAAGAAAAGAAAATGTGAGCTGGGAGGTGGAAGGTGAGCGGGGCCCTGTCCCTGCTCTGAGCCTGGGGAAGCCCAGACAATTCCCCTCTGTTGGCCAATGGGCCTGGCTGCACAGGAGGCCCTGTTCCCTGGGTGTTGAAGTGGGTGAAAGGTCACCAGCGACCAGGTTTGCCTCACTCAACAAAAGCTCTGAATGTCTGGGGAAAGACAGGGAAACAGAAGCCTTAAGCTTTAAAGCAAACTCCCAAATGGATCTTGTGGGGCTCTGCCCAGGGTGTGGGGAGTGGGGGGTAGGAGGGAAGGGGAGGGGAGCCTCGAAGTGCTAGGGTCCCAGAAAGTGCTGATTCCTAAAGCAAAACCCACACTTCTTAGGGCGTTGGGAGAGGCTGGCACTATCAAACTGCCTCCCCTCGAAGCTGCTGAGAGTCGGCAGGTCTGAGCCATCATGCCCGGACAGGATCCTCATGTGGTCTCCGAGTATGTCTGCTTGTCTGGCTCTGAGACCCCTTCAGCCAGCTAAGTGTCTGAAATTAGAGCTCATCAGGATTAAATCTTAGACTGTGACTGCTCCAACTTTAAGTAACTGCCCCCCGCCCAGCCCCAAACTCAGTGCTCTGTTCATACAGTGGCCATCTCAGTACTTGGAATAAAGCATTCTAGGTCCCATATAGACACCCATGCAGATGAAAGTTCAGTGATAGAAGCCAGCTCTTGATTTGGGCTCTACCCAGGAGCTCCAGCCCCAAAGTAACAACCTGCAATTTCATGGGGTACAGTGGAACCTCGTTTCTCGAACTTAATTCGTCCTGGAAGGCTGTTCAAAAACCAAATCATTTTTCCCCACTAGAAATAATGTAAATTGAATTAATCTGACCCAGACCCCCAAATGATTCCCTGTTCTAGCCTTTCTTCTACACAGTACATGTCTATTGTATTGTTTAATCTATAAACACTTTAAAAACAAAAAGGGCATGAAATGAAAATTTAACATAAAGGAAATGTACAGTAAAAAAAGGAAAGTTTTGACACTGAGTGCCTGGGTCACTTATCTTCCTCTGGGAAAAGAGCACCCTGGTCTCCCATGGCCACCCAAACCCCACACATCCCAAAGGGATTTCATCCGCACTTACTACAAATACTATCAGGGGAATGGAGTTGGTGGGAAGGAAAGACCTTGCTAGGAGAATTTTTCCCTTGCTCCAAAATCACTGGGTTGTTTTTGCACATTATTAAACCACAGAAGGGGGTGTTGGGGGGCTGGGTGGAGGGATTGAGCAAAAAAAGAAAAAACCCATGGACACAGACAACAGTATGGTGACTGGGGAGGGGTAGAGGAGGGATAAATGGTGATGGAAAAGACTTGGCCTGGGGTGGTAAAAATATAATACAGTATACTGATAATGTGTTGTAGAATTGTGCATCTGAAACCTGTATACTTTTGTTTACCAGTGTCACCCAATAAATTCAATAAAAAGGAAAACATTAACCACAGGAGCCATTTTATAAATGTCATCATCATAATTTTTTAATATTTTACATAAAAAAACTGTATACACAGCTTATAGAACTTTTATGTAAACATCATAAGCTCACCACTTTGTCATTTGTCAGTTTATCTTAAAAATAAAAAACAAGACAACAATTTAGTAGAAGTACCACTGGGGGGGGGAAGGGAGGGGGAGGAAGAAGGCTTGGGGCAGGTTCATTCTCTGTACAGAGATCAGAGAAAATTTCGCATAGCTTTAGACACTGCCTTGTGAAGAAAAGGGGGGGCGGGGGTTAAGTAGGCCCCAATACTTGTTACTGCCCTTTCTCAAAACAGTGCGCATACCTGCACAAATGAAATTGCAAAACGGTGTTGCCACTTTCTTTCAAGAAAACAAAATAAAAATTAGTGGTTTCTTTTTCAACTCTCATTTTAAAAGTCATCATCATTTTTCTTTAAAACATCAGAAGTCGATGAGGTTACAGCGTACAAGTGTGGTCAGAATGCTACTGTCTTATACAAATGACAAGTGCATTAAGTGTCAATGAAACAATTGTGCAAAGAATCCTTTCGAAAGAAAACAAGTTTTAAGCCTTTAAATAAATCAAAAACTCGGTTTCTTGGACTGAACAATTTTCACTTGTAGGACAGGCACAAAGTTCGCTTATGGCAAAAACAACCCGCAGCACACTCTCCCTCCTCCTGCCCACGGCTGGCTGGCGAGGGGTTCGCTGGAGGCTGGCGTGCAGGAGACGGCAATCTGGAAGCTGTGTCCTCTCAGCCCCAAGTCAGTTGCAAATATCTTCCCCAGGGGTTGGAAAGATGACCAAGTCCTGTTCTTGCTTGGATGGGCGCCTGACCCAGAGCTGTTCTAGCGCCCTGTCACTCCACCCACCACCACCATTAAATAACACCATCCTACCTCCGAAAATAAAATTATATCTATATTTATATAACACCCCGCCCTCCCCACCCTCCCCTCCCGCCGTGCCCGTGGTCTATGTTACAGACAAGAGATAGCAGGCGCTCGCTGGTGACGGGCGCACATCTGATGGGGCGCGGCAGCACCGGGGCGCCAAGCTCCTCTCCTGGGACCAGAGGCAGGGTGCGGGGGAGGTCGAACATACAGCCACACACTCTGAAGAG